TGGCTGCTGCATCCTATAAATACCGCAGCCCCTTGTGCAACAACCACCCGTTTCTGCTCTTTTGTCTCTGATGATGGATTCGAGTAGGAATCCGAAACGTCAGGCTAATAAAGCTCTTGTCCCGGCGATCGTGTCTCCTTCAGTGCTGTGAGTCCGCCTATCTCTCAGAGACTACCTCAATAAACCGTTGTGTCGCCCTCCCGGCAGCCTCCTAAGCCCTCTGGACGCAGCTCAGCGAACGAAAGAGCAAGGGCGAAGTTAGGTGAGTAGTGAATGCAAACACGGGGGAACGTACGACGGACCTACACGTAGCCGCACTGCAAACCGGACCCGACATAGGCTCAGTCATCAATACTGTTGCCTCACCACTACGGCAGACGGGGAGAAACGTGGTCAGAGGGATGCAATCAAGACTAGCAACCCAGACGGCAACTAAGGTCAACGCGAACGCGGGCGATGGCCACCAACGTTCAAATGCCGCCCCCCCCCCGACGAGAGACAGGCAGATTGACAGCAGTCGCCCTCCCGCTCTGCCCCGGCGACTACAGAGACGATCCCTGTTCGTTGACAGCTTGGGCATGTTGAGAGGAGAAGGAGGAGGAGGAGGGACGCCTGAGACTTGTGGACTACTCTTTTGGCTTTGGTACCGGCGATTCGGTCGGCGTCACTGATCGCAGCTCCAGTCTTCACTGCTCTTCCCCATGCCGGTCAGTCCTCTGTGGGGTCTTTCCAGGTGTTCGGGTGGATTTGTAGTCGCTTCCAACAATTCTTCAAGGCGTTTTTGTAACAGCAGGTTGGACCTCCTTGTCAGCGAGCACTCGTAATCAAATCTCCATAAAAGCGTCGTTTCGATAGGTGCAGACCATCCTTCGCATTCCGTTTCAAACTTCCGTACCCGGTATCCTGTCCTGCCACCTCAGCTTTAATGTTCATCGAAACAATTGAGATCTCCGCACCATACAGCTGCTTCGTGAAGATGACAGTTATTTGCATCTTGTGCTTGGTGTTGATGTGGAGAACATGATGATGCCATACCGAGTTCTGCAGCTACTCGGAAGTCTGACTGGCTTTGGAAATCTGGCGAACCAATTCATCGTCGACTTTAATGCTGCGGGAGTGTGCTGCGTATATGGACGAAATTGCCCACGCTTTTCAGTTGGGTGTCATTGGCGTTGATCCGAGGAACATTTCATGCAGCGTCGATTGACGTATGACTACCGTTTTGTCCGCGTTGATGGTCAGCACGACTTCGGCGCAGCCGACGGCGAAGAGATGCAGTTTCCATTGTATGACTGCTTCTGTCGCGGTGTTGTGTGCGTAATCGTTCGCAAGGAGTAGGTCGTGGGCAGTAGTTGTTGAGAGACGCGTCGGGACCTGCAAGCTCCGGTCATTGAGAAGTTGGCCATTGGTCCTGTACGTGCTGCGGATCCCGGGACGTTCATCACGGTATGCGTCCACCAGCATAGTAGTCCTGATGTACGTGACGTGCACCATCGTCCCGCAGTGGAACTGACGCACTTTTGTAATCTGACACTTACTTTTTTGTGGCACCTGGCCTTGTGACCGGCAGAGGGCTCTATGTGATGGCGCCCGTCCGATTTGATTAGAATTTGGTGCTGGTCAGGAGACATCCATGATCTCCGTAGGACTAGATATGTCGACTAATATTATCCTACCGCTGTGTGGGAGGGCCAGTTTGGTTTCCCAGCCTGTGCTTTTTCTCTAGTGAGAGGTATCTCGGCCGTTCAGGCCAAGAAACTCCCATTATACACTATCTTTGCTGTTCCTTACATGCCTGAGACCTACTAGCTAGAGGCGGGAGTTTTGTGGACTCGGAGAAGCTTATTTGCAGCCAGCTCATGTTCGAGTGATCTCATTTCCAGAAGTGGGAGGACTTTCGACAAACTATGTATGTCTATCTGCCACGGAATGGACTGGGGTTGCTCATCAGAATTTCAAAAAATCGCCAAACTTCGTTTTACTGGTTTCCTTTCTTGGATGCATCAAGCATTTATACTTAGCCATGGGAGCTTATTGAGCGACTGGGGCACCAAGATTTAACTGCTTCCACTACGGTGAAATTAGGGTTTCGGCCAGTCTGCACTAAGTGACCTCTCATTATGCTCGGCGGTTACCTCCTCACGCATCTCGAATAGGAGGTACCAGTGACTCGATCTAAATTTGCTCAGAGATACAGGCCTACTTTCCTAACCCTGTTTGTTAAAACCGTGTTGCACAGAATAGGATATGGTTGGGTGGTTCTGTTTACGGCTGGCAAAGATATCATGGCCTACCAGTTGGCCTCATAAGTTTCATTGTTCAGTTTCATTGTTCGTCCTTTTAACACCAAAGACGAAACTCAACAGTCAGAACCCGATTTTTTTAATTTTATAAATAGCGCAGGCTGTCTCTGCTGATGAAATGAAACGGATTTTAAACCATTACCTCTATTCATTTTGAACTAGGGAACATAATGGGCCAAAAATGGTAAAACCAACCAAAATACTTAGACGTTTGTTCTCATAACTAGTGTCTGAAGGAGGCTTCCGTAATGATTAGCATGGACAATGGTCCCAAGAGTTTTCCGGCCAACTTACAAAGACCCATTTAAAACTATCTGAGAAGTTTGTCCTTCTCAACTGACTTTTTTCGATGCCTAATCAAAGTTATTTTTCGTAGAAAACATTCACTGGTTATTCATACCTCAGTCATTTTGTGCTAGAACAGGGTTGTTTGGGATGAGCAGGGTATCTTGGCATTAAAAAGTATTCTTAATTTTGTGACTTTTTAAACCGATGTCCTCTTGATATTTCTTGAAACCTAACCCAGTAACTCTACTGAGTGTTCAATGTGCGATTTTTTTATAAATGAACTGATACTGTGATTACGACGTGCAGTTGTTTACAGAACTTTCGCATTACCACTCGAAAGGTCATGAGGATACAAACCCACCTAACTCCAAAGCTCCGCTTAAGATGATATAAATTTTTGATTTTAAACCCTGAAAACCAGATTCAAATTGCGGATACGGGTCGGTATTTGAATTTTTGTTTTAAGCCTTCTCAGATGTATCAGAAAC